AAATATGGAATAACAGTAGATGCTGAGCTTGGGATTTCATCCAGATGTGAAAACATAACATGTACTAAATTTCTTATACTTTTATCATTTAACAAAGTTGAATCTGCACGTATCATATACAAGACTAACTGCGGGAAAATACCATGTTGTGATTACTTAGACATACAGAGAAATTTCTTCTTCTTTTCCAGTGGGAACTCATGAAATGTTTCCCAAAATAGCCTCACAGTCGGGTGTGCGGCTGAATAATCTCCCTTGTAGGTGGCAGTCTGTTCAAAAAAGAAAGATAAAGTTATCTTACAGGACGATATTGGCTATTTGCACACTGTTTGCATCCTAGATGAAGAAGTATGTGTGGAAATGCAGGAAGCCTTCAAATCCTACACAACTAGAGTTCATTTCCAAAGAGATGGGCTCAGGGCCTCCAACCCAGCATGCGGTCTCCTCCCAACAGTGAGCGGGGGCCACCCCTCTTCAGCTTACCGCTTCCAGCTCTTCCCAGTTGTAATTGCTGTTCCCCACCATCATGGCCCTCAGCTCTAAAGGCTGGAAGAGCTCCAGGACTTTGCCACCACACACCTTCAGGAAGCCGCTAGAGAAGGCTGTGTACCATTCGTGAACTGAGATTTGGAAGATATAATTCACGTAAGCTTCCACAAAGTCCGGCCTGCCAGGAGATCAAAGACATGGAGTGTTTTAACCCAGCGTCCCGCAGGGCGTGAAGTATGAAGTCCCCCTTCCGGACATTATTCTTGTGGAAGAGGTTGGGCGTCATCAAAAATGGAATTTTCGTTGAATGCTCACATGAGGAGGCAACTTAAAACTTCCTCTCTGGACACTGGCTCCCCACTCTTGCACTGCCTCCCTGAGGATTCCCAGGATTTTCTCAGCAGGCCATCAGTGGGTAGGGCAGGGGGTAAAGCCATAGAGGAAGGGCAGAAAGGCAAATGGGTAGATTCCTACCACGGATTTAATCTCGGGAACCTCAGTTATGATCTTGTTTTACATTGCACAAAAATCAAGACACTAGGGGGAAAGTGGGGAGAGGAGGGAGAAAGTGGGGACCGATCATGATGATCGACACATAACTGCATTTCCCCACCTCCCCAGGGGGACAAACAACAGAAACCATGGGGGAAGGGAGACAGCGTTTGGTGTAAGATATGAAAATAATAATAATTTATAATTTATCTAGGGGTCACGAGGGTGAGGGTGGGAGGCAGGGGGTGGAAGAGGAGCTGACACCAAGGGCTCAACAGAAAATAAATGTCGAGAAAATAATGATGGCAACATATATACAAATATGCTTCATACAAATTAATGTATGGATT